TTAGTGCAAGGGTGAATAATAATGTTCTCCTATCAGTTGTGTTACCTGTTGTAATGCTCTCCTCTTAAAATGTATTCTATTCAAATTAGCTTAATGGCAATGGAACCCAATAACCATGTTGCTGTATATTGACTATTTCCATTTTACCTCTAAAGTAAACACAATTTTATTTCTGACTTCTGCAAAGTCCTCTGTGGTTATGGAAGACTGCCTAGGACAGCTTTTCTCTACATGCTGGCTCAGCATCCCAGAATGCTTTGATCTTATGGCCTCTCAACATCAACCTGTACTTCCATAAATGCTGCAACGGGAAAAGACAGCAGAAGACAGTCTTGCACTGGCAATTATCTACTTCTGCTTGGAAGTGATATACATCATGCACATTTCATTGATCAAAGAAAATCACAGCTCAGGGTAGCAGGGAAGTGAAATCCTCCAGTGTTCCCAGAAAGGGGAGAACAGAAATATTAATAGTGGCTACCAAAATAAACAAATATTTCTCATTCTCATCTATTTGTATGCTTGAGTGACCACAAGTCTCAAAGATACTTGAAGTGATACCTAACTTCTCTAATCACTTATTGTTATACTAGAAAATAAAATTACAGTTCTAATCTTAGAAAGGAAGTTTTCTGAAAAAGAAGGAACATATCAAGAAATAGTCTTCTCAGGTGTTCTTTCTTGTACTTTAGGCAATGTAAATGTAATATTCCCCTACAAATGAAATTAGATTAGTATCATCATACCAAGGTAATTTGATAATAAAATTGCAACTCCTAAAATCATAGTCATGCAACTGAAATTCATTACTGAAATTGAATAATCAAAAGATAATAATATATGTTTTACTAATATTTTACTGAAAGCAATCATAGTTTTTGTTTCCATTGGGATGTTTTACGGAGCCTTCATAGAAAAATGAAAATAACATTGTTATTTTCAGTATTAACAGCATGATGATTTTGCCTAGTTTTTCAGATGGACAGCAAAGGTGTGAAGCTGCCAACTTTAATATATAATTAATATTAACCAAAACTAATCCAATTGCATAACAATGATTATAACCTGGTAATAAGATTTCAGCAAATATAACTTCACCTTTTGAGGATTTGACAATTTTAAAGTCAATAAATTTTCTAAATGAATGACTAGTTTGAATTGTAAACATACCATGAAATAAATACCAAAAAATAAATTATCCATAAATTTATATTAGTCTAAGTTTTTATTACTACTAAATTGTTCAACGAATACATATTAATGATAGCAAAGAATGGTGGAAAAGTAGAAAAATATGGCAACTAGGTTGTCTTTATAAAGAAGAAAAGAGGAAGAAATACATTTCCTGGAAGAAATCTAGTAAAGGAAGACAAAACTATTTAAAGTTGGCACAAAGATTCTGAATGGCACAAGAATATTAACTACCAATGGGAAATCCATTCATATTTATATAAAAATAAATATTAAGTAACAACACCACTCCACAATCATCTTTTCCTCCATCCTAGAAGTACCTTTTCATTTAAAAAAATCACTTTTTTTTTTTTTTTTTTTTTTTTTGCGGTACGCGGGCCTCTCACTGTTGCGGCCTCTCCCATTGGAGAGCACAGGCTCCGGAAGCGCAGGCTCAGCGGTCATGGCTCACGGGCCCAGCCACTCCGCGGCATGTGGGATCTTCCCAGACCAGAGCACGAACCCGTGTCCCCTGCAACGGCAGGCAGACTCTCAACCACTGCGCCACGAAGGAAGCCCTAAAAAATCACTTTTCAAACTTTGTAACCTTAAACCCCCTTTTTTGGTTTAGTAGTCATTAACTAAAATTTGAGATTCACCTCCAAGTTAATACCTCAAATAACCCAGAAAATTTTAACCTTTACAACAATAATAATAATACAGAAAGAAATGTTTGTCTGTTCTTAGATCCATAATGCATCATCTAAAAATTTTTTTTGACAGTGATCCCAGTGTAGCTGTGTGAAGGCATGCCTGAATCTCTTCAGGCCAAATTTAAAGGGCTATTGGTATTTATCAAGTGATGTCCAATTCCATTAGAAATCTTATTATTAACCTCTCAGTGAAGTACTGTTAGATAATTGATTTTTCAACCTATATAAATTCTTGAAGAAACAAGTTGTGCCATTCTAGCTTCAAATGTCAACCTCTAACTCAAGTTTTTTTGGCTTGATAAAAGAAATATATGTTTACATTCTCCATACTGTTCATGATTTTTCAGTTTGGCCTTAAAACGTAGTTTCCTCTATCCCTCCTAATTTTTTGATCATTTTAGTTCCCCTTTCCAGAGAATTTTCCATCTAATTGATTATATTTTCATTAGCTGAGGCAATGAGAATTACATATAATTTTCTGAGCACAAATCACATAAAGAAGGAAAGCCCACATCTGCTTTTTTCCAGAAAACTCGCTAATAACAGTCAGCATTATACCGCCTATTTTTAAAAAGTCATGAATAGAATGAGATCCTCCTTTATAGACACCTTGTTTAGACAAAGAAAACTGAAAAGGCAATATTATACCAATGTAAGTATTTTCATAACACAATTGTTATTTTAAACAGGTTACAATGTGGTCCCCTTGAAGCCAAGGACCTCTCCTATCTTGTTTCACTCTTGCTAGGTCCCTAGTTTCTACAGCAGGACTTAGTTTGTAGTAGGCTCTCCATGTGTGCTTGTGTACTGATCCATCAGTAAATATATTCAGTGTCCCTAGAGAAACTTCTAAGCCTGGACATAGGGACATGTGAATTAGGGAACAGAAATTATTTTTGTGACTCCTTAATTTATCTTGCCCAGTTTTATAATCTTGCAAAGTTTATCTCATATTGAAAGGAGCTGGAAACTTTTCTTGGCAATGTGAAATCTAAAATTATTATTATTATTATTTGCTGATGTTTGCCAAAAGCCTGGGTATGATAATTAATATTTGAAAAGTTACAGAAACATATTCACTGCCTGTTTCTTGAAACACTCTAAGCAACAGCACTATACCAATTCAAATATCTAGAAACTTAACTAATAAATTATACTAATTTCTTATAGAATGCTTTCACAAGGGGACTTTCAAGGGACTTTTTCTGCATGTTTATTTAAATGTTTGCAAACAAAAATGTGTTCATTTAATACTTGTGTAGTTTCAGAATTAAACATAGGAAATAAAATTTAATATTATGCTCTTGACTTAATGACTAGCATATATAATAATATTTATAACAAATATGTTTCAGCTGGTTTTGCAAAACTGCTGTCAAACATACTGTTCAGGATATTGCTAAACCCTTACATAATGACCAGTAATCAACTCTGAATTTACAGCAGGAAGAGAAGAGTTTTTTCTCTCTTGAAGAGTTGGTACAGAGAATTTCCTTTTATTCTTCTTTTTTATATTTCTGTACTTACTTCCAGGAAGGTGAGTATTAGGATTTGCACTCAGTCTATGATTGATAAATTGTTCCCACTCTTCTCTTGATCTTTTACTTTGGCTTTTAAACAGAATTTTTTAAATTGCTCTTGTAAATATCTTCCACTGTAAGCTACCTTAAATCTTTTATAAAAGGCAATGAAGTTAGAACAAGCAAGTTCTGGATATCCTTGGGAAATCTGGAGAAAACTTAGTAAAAAATACTGAACTTAGATTTTCTGAGCCTCAGCACTTTTATCCACAAAGTGAGACTAAAGTATGCACTTCACAAAGTTATTGGAAAGGTTGAGAGAAGTAAAAATAAAGTGTCTTAGGGCTTCCCTGGTGGTGCAGTGCTTAAGAATCCGCCTGCAAACGCAGGGGACACGGGTTTGAGCCCTGGTCCAGGAAGATACCACATGCCACGGAGCAACTAAACCCATTCGCCGCAACTACTGAGCCCACACTCTACAGCCCGCAAGCCACAACTACTGAGCCCACGTGCCACAACTACTGAAGCCCGCATGCCTATAGCCCGTGCTCTGCAACGAGAAGCCACCGCAATGAGAAGCCCGCGCACCACAACCAAGAGTAATCCCCGCTCGCCTCAACTAGAGAAAGCCCGCGTGCAGCAACGAAGACCCAACGCAGCCAAAAATAAATAAATTAAATAAATAAATTTAAAAATAAATAAATAAAGTGTCTTAGAACATTTGTGAGTAAATGGAAGGTGCTAAGTGTTTCCTAGCCAGATCCTATACTAAAATATTCATTCCATGCTAAGCTTTCTAGAACCAGGAGAACTCAAAGTCGTTGGCATCAGGATACTGATCATAAAAGCAACGAAAAAATAGTTGTATATTTTAACATAAAAATTAAAATGTCACCCTACAAATATCTTTTTTTTTTTTTTGCGGTACGCGGGCCTCTCACTGTTGTGGCCTCTTCCGTTGCGGAGCACAGGCTCCGGACGCCCAGGCTCAGCGGCCATGGCTCACGGACCCAGCCGCTCCGTGGCATGTGGGATCTTCCCGGTCCGGGGCATGAACCCGTGTCCCCTGCATCGGCAGGTGGACTCCCAATCACTGCGCCACCAGGGGAGCCCTACAAATATCTTTTAAATTACTTTTATTTAAAACAATTTTTTAAATCGCCCACTTTGAAACGTAAAACCTTAAGGGAAGGCAGATAGTTTCTGTAAATCTGCCTATAATTTTTTGTCCAGGGCTTGACATTTCATTCCAAGCTACAAATAAACTTGAAAATGACAATGTATTTGACTACGTTAAGATTCTGTGTTAAATATGATCAAGACTGCTTAATATTTCAGTATTCTTTCAAAAGTATCCTACTATTTGATCCAAGGAATATGGCAATTTGTTCCTACATTAGTTTTTTTGTTGTTTGATTCCAAGTTCTATTCAAGATGCAGCTATAAGTAATAGAATAAATATCTACAATAAATGGTAAGATTTGTTGAGATTTTAGTGAACACTTGGAATATATCTTTTAAAGTGACATCTGAAAAGATGGTTAGATAAGTAAAAATTAAAAAAAAAAACTAAAGCCAAAGCTTGGAAGTTAACTTACATTATCGAATTTGTTTCTGGATGTTCATTTCTTCCCGACGTGCTCAGACCTGGACAAAGACCGGGGCTGAAGGCCCATGAGGTTGGTCTTGGGCGGCCCCTCTCCAGAAAACACCCTTTGCCGCCTCTGCTGCGAGTAAGACCAGCTCCCCACCGCGCTGGAGCACACCAGCGTGGGCTTCCCGGGCCCGCACGCGCCCTCGCTGGGCGGCGCCGAGCACCGCAGCGCCGTGTACAGCAGCAGCGTGAGCACCAACAGGCTGGACACCGCGCAGATGGCGATGATCAGGTACACGTTCACATCCACCAGAGCGGCCTCCGCGCCAGCGGCGCCCGTCGACGCCCGCGAAGAGGCCTTGGGCGCCTGGCCGCTGTCCTCCAGCGACAGCAGCACGGTGGCCGTGGCCGTCAGCGCCGGCTCGCCGTGGTCCTTCACCAGCACCAGCAGGCGCTGGCGCGGCGCGTCCGCCTCGTCCAGGTCGCGCGTCGTGCTGATCTCGCCCGTGTACAGCCCCACGCGGAACGGGCTGCGCGCGCCACCCACCGCCGGCTGCAGCTCGTACGACAGCCACGCGTTGTAGCCCGAGTCCCCGTCCACCGCGCGCACCTTCGCCACCACGTGGCCCGCGCCCACCGACCGAGCCACCAGCTGGCTCAGCGCGCCCGCCCCGCCGCCCAGCCCAGGCAGCAGCAGCGCGGGCGCGTTGTCGTTCTCATCCAGCACGAAGAGGCGGCACACCCGCGTCGCGCGCGCTCACCTGGAACTGCAGCAGCTCCAGCTCCTCGTGGTCCAGCGGCTGCAGCGCGTACACCTTGCCGCTCTCCGCGTGCACCGACACGTAGCTCGACAGCGCTCGCTCGCCCACCCGCCGCTCCACCAGCGAGTAGGACACCAGCGCGTTCTCCTGCGCGTCCGCGTCCCAAGCCGACACCGTGAAAATGTGGCAGCCGGGCGGGTTGTTCTCCTTCACCAACACCGTGTACTCAGGCTGCGCGAACACGGGCGCGTTGTCGTTCACGTCGTCCGCTTCCACGGACACGCTGGCTGTGACCGACAGGGAAGGCGAGCTCCGTCCCTCGCGGTCACCACCACCTCATAGTTCGCCAGGCTCTCGCGATCCAGGGCGCTGTCCAGCACCAGCGAATAGTAATTCTTTTTTTTTTTTTTTTTTTTCTGCGTTACGCGGGCCTCTCACTGTTGTAGCCTCTCCCGTTGCGGAGCACAGGCTCCGGACGCGCAGGCTCAGCGGCCATGGCTCACGGGACCAGCCGCTCCGCGGCATGTTGGATCTCCCGGATAGGGGCATGAACCCGTGTCCCCTGCATCAGGAGGCGGACTCTCAACCACTGCGCCACCAGGGAAGCCCCGAATAGTAATTCTTGAAGGTGGACAGCAGCTTGAAGGGGACATGAGGCGTCAGGGTGCAGGTCACCTACCCATTGACAACAGAGTCACAGTCAGACAAGGAGATGAAGGCGATGACGGTGCTGAGTGGAGACTCCTCTCTTACAGGCAAACATGGATGTGACCACCAGTTCCGGAGCATTATCATTTACATCCAACACTTTCACTAAAACCTTGCAGTGATTTGACATTGGAGGACCTCCTTTATCAAGTGTTTTTACCTGAATTTCGTAGGACTTCGTTTCTTCATAATCCAGTCTACCAATTAGCCTAATTTCCCCTGAGCTGAATCAATTTTTAATTTTTGTTTTTGTTGTTTGTTTATGTTAAGAGAAACATCATTGCCAAAAGAAAGACAATTTCGCCATTTACACTTTTGTCAGCGTTAGAGGCGTTTAATGTGGTCATTAATGTTCCAGTTGCTGGAACATTAGTCGTATCTAATAAGTGTACTCTGTACACGGCCTGGGCAAACCATGGGGCGTTATCATTAACGTTGAGCACCATGATCAGCAGCTGAACTATACCTTCTAGTTCTGGTTTGCCCCCATCAGTGGCTGTCAATAATAAATGAAGTTCTGGTGTATCTTCTCTACCCACAGACTTCTTCAATTCAGGCGAAAGTGACTTACTCAGTTCATCACTTGCCTGTACATCCAAAGAGAAATAATCACTGGAGCTGAGAGTGTATGTTAGAAAAGCGTTGGTACCAATGTCTGCATCAGCAGCGCCCTCTATCAGGAAACGTGAATCCAGCAGCCTAGATTCAGGAATAAATAACCTTTGTTCTCTCACTCTAACTAAAGACCTGTGGATTATCATTAACATCCTTCACCTCCACTTCCACATGCAACACCTGCAGCGGCCTGTCCACAAGCACCTCCAGGTGAATACTATATTTCGTGTTCTGTTCGCATAGCTCCTCCAGGTCAATCCAAGAATTCACAAACAAAATGCCGTTCTGCAGATTTACCTCCAGAAAGTCCCCGTGGCTTTTGGACGCCACCCAGAACAGGTATGGCACCAACTCGGCCAGCTCCAGCCCCAGGTCCTGAGCGATGCGGCCCACGAAGGTGCCATATTTGGCCTCTTCAGGGACCGAGTTGTGGATCTGGCCATTGCCAGCCCCCCAGGCTGTGAAGAGCAGAATCGAGAGCAGCAGGCACCGGCCTCCCTGGCCACCTCTCCTTGGAAACAGCATCACAAAAGCACTACTCCTTTCCTACCGTTCTCACTTTACTTTAAAATATTGCCTTTTTTTCCCCTTCATATTTGAAATAATTTATCTCCTTACCATTTTTGTCTTCTCTCCAGCAGTGACAAAATGGGGCTTCCTTCTTTAGTTTTTGGTAATCAGTATATGGAATCTCAAGTGACCCTAAATGCCAAAAGAATCCTGAAAGAGAAGAACAAAGTTGGAGGACTCATACTTCCTGATTTCAAAACTTGCTACAAAGCTACAGTAATCAAAACAGTGTGGTATTGTCATAAAGACAGACATATAGACCAATGGAATAGAACAGAGAGCCCAGAAATAAATCCTTACATATATGGTCAGACAATTTTCAACAAAAGTGCTAAGACTATTCAATGGGAGGAAAGACAGTCTTTTCAACAAATGGTGCTGGGAAAACAGGAAATCCACATGCAAAAGAATGAAGTTATACCCTTACTTAACACCACATACAAACATTAACTCAAATAGATCCATGACCTAAATGTAAGACCTAAAACTGTAAAATTCTTAGAAGAAGATAGGGAAAAAGCTTCATGACATTGGGTTTGGTGATGATTCCTTGGATATGGTACAGGCAACAAAATTTTAAAAACAGACAAATTAGACTTCATAAAAGGTGAAAATTTTTTCTATCAAAAGACACTGTCAAGGACTTCCAGTTTCTAGTTCTGAATGTAAGGGGATTTGAAATCACCACTCCAACAAATAAAAAGCTGAGCAGACTGAAAAAAATCAACAACTCTTCTTGGCTGTGTAAGAGAGGGGAGGACACAGGGCAAACCACTACCCCCAAAATTAAAGCGACAGGGAAATACAGAAAGTCACAGATTACTTACTGGCACAGAGACCCAAGAGCAGAAGCCACTGTGGAAACCAGAGCTGGAGCAGGAATATCTGAACTGCAATAGACAAATTGCTGGAGGCTCAATGTAGATGGGGGGGAAGCAGTCATGAGGGCGGCTCAAAATATTTTGAAATTTACCTCCAGGAGCTTGACCAGATTCCCACAGTAAATATCAGAGAAAAATCCCCCTCATGCTTCTGGCAGTGGGAGGTGGAAATGAACCATTTTGAAATGTATTCTGTTCTTCTTAACAAGGCCTTCCCTCAGGGAAGCGAATTAATGGAAGACTAATTGTTGGCTTATTATCAGAGCCAATTCCAGCAGACTCTAGATTTCTGTGAGGGAGAAGAAAAATACCAAATTCCAGGGCATTCTAGCCATTCTGTCTGACATGGGGTGGAGGGGAATGAGAAACACTTGTGAAGTTCATAGTTCAGAAGTGTAATATCAGTAAAAGACTGAGACCTAACCATAGGACTATAGAATGCTTCCCCTCTTCCCACACCTCAACATCTCATTATTACTAGGCTTTTTATAGCAGTTCCTTCTGCCTGGTATATCATGTCCAGCTATCAACAAAAATTATGAGGCATAGCAAAAGGGGCGGGGGGAACTCCACAATTTGAAGAGCAGAGCAAATATCAGAACCAGATTTGACAGGGATTTTGGAATTATCAGACTGGTAATTTAAATCAGCTATGATTAATGTGCTAATGGCTCCAATGGATAAAGTAGAAAGCATGTAATAAAAGAAGAGATGGTCAATGTAAACAGAGATGGAAATCCTAAGAAAGAACCAAAAAGAGTGGGAGGGAGGGAGACGCAAGAGGGAAGAGATATGGGAACATATGTATATGTATAACTGATTCACTTTGTTATAAAGCAGAAACTAACACACCGTGGTAAAGCAATTATACTCCAATAAAGATGTTAAAAAAAAAAAGAAATATTAGACCCCATTTTTGAAAAAAAAAAACCCATTTAAAAGAAAATGTAACAGAAATGAAAGATGACTTTGATGGGCTCAGTAGTAGATTGGACATGGATGAGGAAAGAATCTCTGAGCTAGATGATATATCAATAGATTCCTCAAAAACCAAAAAGCAAAGAGAACAAAAATTGAAAAAATAGAACAGAAAATCCAAGGACTGTGGGACAACTTTAAAAAAGATATAGCATTAAAAAAAGGGCGGGGGTGTATAACATACTCATAGTGGGAATACCAGAAGAAAGAGAGAAAGGAAAAGAAGAAATATTTGAAATAATAATGACCGAGAATTTCCTCCAAATTAATTTCAGACATCAAATCACAGATCCAGGAAGCTCAGATAACACCAAGCAGAATAAACACCAAAAAGTCTGCACCTGGCATATCAGTTTCAAACTATAGAAAATCAAAGATTAAATAAAAATCCTGTTATTTTACTACAGCTTTATGTTACCATCAGGGGAGACTGGGTGAAAGGTATTATTTCTTACAACTGAATTTGAATGTACAATTATCTCAAAATAAAAAGTTTAATTGAGGGCTTCCCTGGTGGCGCAGTGCTTGAGAGTCCGCCTGCCGATGCAGGAGACGCGGGTTCGTGCCCCGTTTCGGGAAGATCCCACATGCCGCGGAGCGGCTGGGCCCGTGAGCCATGGCCACTGAGCCTGCGCGTCTGGAGCCTGTGCTCCGCAAATGGGAGAGGCCACAACAGTGAGAGGCCCGCATAATGCAAGGAAAAAAAAAAAAAAAAAAAAAAAAGTTTAATTGAAAAAAAAATCCTGAAAGAAGCCAGAGGGAAAATACACTTTACCTATAGAGAAACAAAGATAAAAATTACATCTCACTTCTCCTCAAAACCCATAAGAACTTTCTCAACTTGATAATGAGAATCCATGACAAACATATAAATAACATTATACTTAATTGTGAAGGACTGAATGTCTTCAACCTCAGATTGGGAACAAGGCAAAGATATCTGGTCTCACTACTCTTATTTGTTTTAGCATAGTGAAGGAAGTTCTACTCTGTGCCATAAACCAAGACAAGGAAATAAGAGGCATATAGATGAGAAAGAAAGAAAACTGTCCCTATTTACAGGGGCAGTAAAAAACCTCCTAGAAAAAAACCTCCTAGAAAAGTGAATTCAGCAATGTCACAGAAAACAAGATAAACATACAAAAATGAATGTATTGGGCTTCCCTGGTGGCGCAGTGGTTGAGAGTCCGCCTGCCAATGCAGGGGACACGGGTTCGTGCCCCGGTCCTGGAAGATCCCACATGCCGTGGAGTGGCTGGGCCCGTGAGCCATGGCCACTGAGCCTGCGTGTCCGGAGCGCGTGCTCCGCAATGGGAGAGGCCGCAACAGTGAGAGGCCCATGTACTGCAAAAAAAAAAAAGAATGTATTTCCATATAGTAACAATGAAAATATACATACCAAAATTAAATTTAAAATACAATACCATTTACATTAGCTCAAAAAAGATACTTAGGTGTAAGTGTATTCTGTATTCTGAAAACTACAAAACACTAATGAAAGAAATTGAAGAATATCTTAAGTGGAGAGACCTACTGTGTTCATGAATTGGATAACTCGACACTTCATGGAGAGATGTCAATTTTCCCTGAATTAACATATAGATTTAACACAATTCCTACCAAAATCTTAACAAGATTTTCTATAGATATAGACAAGATTACATGGAATAACAAAGGAACTATAATACTTGAAGCAATTTTTAAAAACAATAAAAAAGTAGAATGAATCAGTGTATCCTATTATTTATTATACAGCTACAGAAATCAAGACTGTGTTATTAGTAGATAAATAGACAGGTAGATCAAGGGAACAAAATAAATAATCCAAAAATAGACACATGCTAATGTGCTGAACTAACTGAATCTTGACAGAGTTGCAAAAGCAATTAAATACAGGAAAGATAGCTTTTCCAGCAAGTAGTGTTAGAGCAATTGGACTTTGTTAGGAAAACAAACAAACAAAAAAACCCCGCCTAAGTCTCATATCTTATACTAAAATCAATTCAAAATGGATCATGAACCTAAAACATAAAACTCTAAAACTTTTAGAAAAAAATATAGGAGAAAATCTTTAGGATCTAAGGGTAAGCAAAGAGTTCTTAGACTTGACACCAAAAGCACAGTCTGTAAAAGAAAAAAAAGTGATAAATTGGAAGTCATCAAAATTTAAGAACTTTTACTCTGTGAAATATTTAGAGTATGAGAATAAAAGCTAAAATTTTGGAGAAATTGTCTGCAAGCACATAACTGACAAAGAACTTGTATCTAGAATCTATAATGGATAATCAAAACTCAATAGCAAAAAATCAAACAGCCCAATTAGAACATGGGCAAAAGACATGAAGAAACATTTCTCCTGCTGGAGAGGGTGTGGAGAAAAAGGAACCCTCTTGCACTGTTGGTGGAAATGTAAATTGATACAGCCACTATGGAGAACAGTGTGGAGGTTCCTTAAAAAACTAAAAATAGAACTACCTTACAACCCAGCAATCCTACTACTGGGCATATACCCTGAGAAAACCATAATTCAAAAAGATTCAAGTACCACAATGTTCATTGCGGCTCTGTTTACAATAGCCAGGACATGGAAACAACCTAAATGTCCATTGACAGATGAATGGATAAAGAAGATGTGGCACATATATACAATGGAATATTACTCAGCCATAAAAGGAAATGAAATTGAGTTATTTGTAGTGAGGTAGATGGACCTAGAGTCTGTCATACAGAGTGAAGTAAGTCAGAAAGGGAAAAACAAATACCATATGCTAACATGTATATATGGAATCTAAAAAAAAAAAAAGTTCTGAAGAACCTAGGGGCAGGACAGGAATAAAGATGCAGACATAAAGAATGGACTTGAGGACACGAGGAGGGAGAAGGGTAAGCTGGGACGAAGTGAGAGAGTGGCATGAACATGTATACACTACCAAATGTAAAATAGGTAGCTAGTGGGAAGCAACCACATAGCACATGGAGATCAGCTCGGTGCTTTGTGATCACCTAGAGGGGTGGGAGGGAGACACAAGAGGGAGGAGATATGGGGATATATGTATATGTATAGCTGATTCACTTTGTTATAAAGCAGAAACTAAC